TTGTTGTTGTTGTTGTTGTTGTTATTGTTGTTATTATTATTATTATATTTATTGTTGTTGTTATTATTATTATTATTATTATTATTATTATTATTATTATTATTATTATTATTATTATTATTATTATTATTATTATTATTATTATTGTTATTGTTGTTGTTGTTATTGTTGTTGTTATTATTATTATTATTATTATTATTATTATTATTATTATTTTATTTTTTTATTTTTTATTTTTTTGTTGTTATTGTTGTTATAATAATAATTATTATTATTATTATTATTATTATTATTATTATTATTATTATTGTTGTTGTTGTTGTTATTGTTATTATTATTATTATTATTATTATTATTATTGTTATTATTATTGTTATTGTTACTGTTGTTGTTATTTTTTTTATTTTTTTTTGAATACGTCAACTTTGATTATAATAAAACACAAATACAAGGTGATCACAAACCGATCAAACACATATGGTCAAGAGAGAACAAATGTTGAACTATTACATCATAAGAGGAACAATATATTTTTTGGGAATACTACTATGCCAACCCCTAAATATGATGTTATCCATAATGTGCCTTAAGGCTAGCAAGTAATCAACTTTCTCCCCAAAGCAAACTTTATTCCGATATAACCAAATACCATAAATTGTCTCTGTTATAGCAAGTTTAAACATATTACTCCTCCAACCTTTACCTTTACATTTCGCAATAATCCATGGCAATTCCTCATTCCAACTCTTCGGGGTATGATTAATATTAACCCAATTAAGCACATCCATCCAAAATTGTCGCAAACCAGAACACTCAAACAAAATATGATTGATATCTTCATACTAGAGCAAAAACAGCATTTCGAATCTGTAATAAAACCAAATCTAACAAGCCTCTCCTTAGTAGCTAGCTTGTGATGACAAACCAACCATAATGTGATAACAACCCTAGGCCTGGCGGGGTTTTTACAGATAAGAGACTTCCAACTGACTACCGACTCATTACTTCTCATCTGGGAATATACAGATTTCATAGAGAATTTACCAGTACATAACATGGCCTCCCAAAGTGCCTGAATTCCTTAAATATAATCTCTTGTCCCCATAACCCGTTTCATTATCCAAGTGCCACTATCTTTAATCTTACAATCCATGATATCATCATTCTTCATATAATAGGAGTGTATCCACCTAACCCACAAATTATCTTTTTTAGCACAGAGATTCCACAGCAATTTAAGCAAAGCTACCTCATTCCAAATAAATAAGTCAATAAACCAAGACCACCATTCTTCTTGGGCTTACAGACTTGATTCCAGGCCACAGGACTCTTCCTACTCATCCTATCTGTCCCAGCCCAGAAGAATGATCTGCAGATAGTATTGGTCTTTTGCAGCACCACTTTAGGCATAGGGAAACAGGTGAACCAAAAATTATTCATAGCAAAAATAACAGATTTGAGGAGTTGAAGTCTACCAGTTGCACTTAATAATTGGGAAGACCAATGCCTAATCCTACTGACAATCTTATCAATGAGGGGCAGGTAATATTTTGCAGCCAACTTCTTAGAAGAGAGAGGCACCCCCAAATATCTGACTGGGAGGCTCCCTTCAAGGAATTTAGTCAAATGAAGCACTTGCTGTTTAGTATCCAAATCCACAGCACCAAAGTATATTTTGCTTTTAAGAGAATTAACTTTCATACCTGTAGAACTAGAGAACCTGTTGAAAGCTTGCATCATCAAGGATAAGGATCCAATATCACCTCTAGAGAAAAGAAGCAAATCATCAGCAAAGGCAAGATTTGTAATCTGGAGTTTTTCACACTTAGAGTGATGATTAAAATTGGGGTTCAGCTGGATCTGGTGGAGGCATTTATGCATATATTCCATGGTGATGACAAAGAGGTGAGGGGAAATGGGGTCCCCTTGCCTTATGCCCCTTTGAGCCTGTAACAAAGTAGAGATAGATCCATTGATACTGAAACGATATGATACAATGGTAACAGTAAGCATGATCCAGTTTTTGAACTTATTGGGAATGTCGATCTCCTGTAGAATACAATCCAAGGCCCTTCAATCAACCATATCGTATGCCTTTTGCATATCAATCTGAATCATACATCGTGGAGTAGTATATTTTCTCGAATAGCCTTTAATGAGTTCATACGCAAGGAGAATCTGATTATGAATTTGCTGCCCAGGAATGAATGCTGCTTGATTAGGACTGATGATACTTCCAATTACCCTCCCCAATCTGTTTGTCAGAATTTTAGAGATGATTTTATAGACAGTAGTGCAGACAGATATAGGCCGGAATTCAGAAATTCTCCTAGCAGTTTTGTCTTAGGCAGCAGAGTAATGCTGGAACAATTGAATGCTTTGTAAAGATAATTCCTGTTAAAGAATTCATGAACAGCAGCAAGAAGATCAACCTTGATAATGTCCCAAGTAGCTTTGAAGAAAACTGAATTATACCCATCTAAACCAGGGGCAGACATATCACTAATATCTTTGAGGGCTTCATAGATTTCAATATCACTAATGGCAGAATAAAGGAATTCTCTTTGGGAATTATTGAGCTGAGCACCCCTTCTCATTGCAACCAGATCAATCCCACTTATATCTTCCTCCTTGCTTCCCATCAGTTTCCCATAAAAAGACAAGATTTCTTGTTCAATCTCTGCATGGGGTGATAAAACAGAACCATCCTCACTGATTAGGCATGACAGATTCATGGAAGCCTACTTTAGCTCTTTGCTTCAAGATGGCAATCTCAGTATCATTCAAGCCAACAGCTCTGCAGATAATTTCTTAACCTCATTCATCCTTTCAACATTCATATTATCATACTGCAAACTAGTCTGAGCCATGTCCAGCTTATGCCTAGTCAGAACAATATGCTTCCTAGCTTGGATAAAGGCAAATGAAGTTTGATTAGGACAGGTTGTAGCCTCTTCATCTTATTCCATAGAATAAACATTGGTCTACCATCCAGATGAACATTCCAACTGTTTTGAACTGCATCAAGAAAGCATCTATAGCAAGTAATACATTCAAGAATTTTAATCTGTGTATCTTGTTCCTACTGATTGCTGATCAGTAACCAACAGCAGAGCATGGTCAGATATTAAAGGAGACAGAATATGCAGAGATTGAGACAAGTGAGACTGAAACCATGTAACATTTCCCAAAAGCCTGTCAATTCTGGAGTATATCATGCCAACAGAGTGCCTATTCGACCAAGTGAAGTGATCCTCTGTACTATCCATCTCAAAAATGCCATTCTTATCCATAAACTCCTGTAAGTCTTTACATTCAGCTTCCCACGACCATTTTACACCTATCTTGTCTTGAGCACTAAGCACATTATAAAATCCCAACAAGGCACCAAGCACCAACAATATGCATGCTATCAAGTTCATTCACAGCTCTTTCTCCTCTGCTCCAGACTGTTATGGCCATAAATAGCAGTTAACCAGAATCGAAACTGCCATTACAGTCATAAACCCCACAATGAATCATCTGACTACTGCAATCAATTTTCCTGACATCCATCTTGTTGCTATTCCAAGTAATCCAGATTCTACCCTTTGCATGACTTTGATAGTTATCTAAATAATTTGTACCAACATTTAACTTCTGCCTAACAGGAGCTAGCTTTTGAACTCTTGACTATAGTTTCAATAAGGATACTAATATCTGCATTAAGGGAGTGGAGACGGGAGCTAGCCTCCTTAATCTTAGCAGATTTATTCAGCCCCCTAATATTCCAAGACATTAACATGGACCAATATTTTGAAGCTCTAGGAGATCATTCAAAATTCCTAGAGCATCAAATCCATTGCCAAATGTAAGCATACCTGCTTGGGGATCAGTCTGAATAACTTATACCTTTATCTTTCCCACTGCCTGGAACCTGAGTCCACTTATCTCCCTCTTCATTTT